GAGTCCCCCCACGAGTTCCCTGGAGGCCTCAGACTCCCTACTATATATACTAGTACAACGGTGCACAGACCAGGTACCTATTGACCATCGTTTGGTCAGAGTTCTCTTCCTCATGTCCTACCCTCTGACCTGCCTCATGGTGACCTTACAACTAATACCTGAGTCGTGCCGAGTCCGGACTCCTTCCAATGAGTAAGCGCTTCTGCTGTCACATCAGTCATCTGCCAGTGAGTGAGGATGGGCGCTCCTGGATGTCACAAGGTCTGGGGTTCGATCCTGGCCCCTCCACTTTCCGATACGAGTTGTCCGCGGTCAAGGTGAGCATCTGTCCCAGTACACATGACCCCCAGGTCACGTGTCACAAGAAAACTGTGACACTACCCCCTCTTCAAGATCTGAGCTCCTGCGAAGCGTTCAAACCAGATATTTCGTTGAAACTCCCGGGCGACTGGTCGTGGGTTGTTGAGAGCAATTGGTTGCGGTGTGTTTGGATGGAGAGCATGGAACTCATCAAGTAGCTCCTTCACGTATTTGACATTCCGTACAGGTTCCCAGGTTGCTTCAGAGACATCGTAGCCAGCCCATTTGACGAAGTATTGCACGTATCCCCGGTTGACGCGTGAGTCCAGGATCTTTTCGACCTCAAACTCGTCGTGGCCTTCAACTTCAATTGGGTCAGGCTTCTCCGGATTGTGGTTGCCTATCTCATCTTCGTGGTAGGGGATGAGCTTTGAAGCATGGAAGACGGGATGGACCTTGTTCTGCGGCGGAAGTTTGACTCTGAAGTCGACGGGTCCAATCTTCTCCGTTATCTCGTAGGGCCCATAGTTCTTGGCTGAGAGCTTGGCCGACGAGTTGCGGATTTTGAGGTCACGTCCTTTGAGCAAAACCTTGTCGCCAACCTTAAAGGGAGGGTCCGGAGTGAGGCTCCAGGGACTAGTTCGATTGCATGATCGTAGGGCTTCCGTGTTGGCATTCTTTCCGAGGCTTTCTTGGAAAAGACGTCGCCATACTGCCGGTATTGTTCTGGTACATGGTTTGACCAGTATTCACGGTCCTGTTCGCCTTTGGCTGCAGGGTTGGTATCCTTTTTCTCTTCTAACCTGGCTCGCATCTGACGAGCACTTGGGTCATCTGAGAAGTTTACCCAATGAATAAACTGATCAGTGCTCTCCCAGGATTCGGGGCCGAGGTCACCGTACTGATCTTGTGCAACATCTTCCACTCGGGGAAGTTGCAAACTCCGTAATTCTTCGTCCTGCACTGTGTGCCGGGTGCATGTTGAGGGACAGCATGTGAACTCAATGTTCCCTGCATTCCAATCGAGTTTAGGGTTATGTTCACGTAGAAACGCCATGCCAATGATGATGTCTTGCCGCCCAATATCTGTGACAAGGAACGACTGCCAAACGAGGTGATCTCCGATACGGAGTAAACAACGGACATAGTGTGTGATCAACCCCTTCTTATTCTCGGTGGCGTCTGCATTGAAAACTCGCACTTCACGAGAGAGGCGCCGTAGGGTGAGTCCGTGTTCTTGAACAAACTGGTGGTGGATAAAACAAGAGTAGGCTCCCGAATCGAGGAGGGCTTCTGACTGAACTTCATGCGTACCTTGAGTGAGGGAAACTTTGAGATCGAACGAATTTCACGGGCAACGTGCTGACGCGAGACAAATAACATTCGAACGCAGAACAAAAGAGTCCTCTAGGTCTATGCTATGATTACAGAGTCGGACACTTTGGTCAGTCTTCAAAGTACCCGTTCCAGAAAATCCTCCTCAGATTCCTTGACCTCGACGATGCGTGCGGCAGTCTCGGTTTCCGGTGCCTTGCCTTTGCCTTTGCCTTTAGCGGTCTCAAACTCCTCGAGGGCCCTGCAGATGTACTCCCATTTGTCTTCATCGGCTGTGTCCATTGTGCGTACCTTGGTCGGAGTGGCCGGTTGCTTCTTCATGTCGGGGAGCTCGTAGTAGCCCGTGTACTGAGGGTTCCGACATTTCTGGCCAGTTGTAAACTTGTGCCTGCCACAGCAGAAACAGAGCTTCTTGTCGAGCCACTCGAGTTGTTCCTTAGACAATTTCTCCGGCTTTCTTATTGCGTCGACGTCCATGGCATTAGGATCCCGTGGGGGGTGACTAGCCGTGTGCTGCTGCGAAGACGGCTTGGCCTGATTTCCGCGAGTTTCCATTTCCAGCTTGAGTACCCAGTCCAGATAGTGTTCCCACTTCGTCGGAATCAGCATTGGGTTGACCTGCCGCATTGCCGTCATGACTGTCAGAATCTGCGAGTACTTTCCGACCTGATTGTCGATGCGACGGATGAGCTCCACGTCGGCGTAACCAGACTTCAATGCATAGCGGCGGAAGTTTTCGGCAAACTGAATGACAGTGGAGTGAGTCTTTGAGCACCACTCTTCGAGGGATGTTTGTGCGGTCTTCTCGGGAGCCAGTTGATGGCAGCCTGCCTTAAGCCGGTTGACGAAGTCGGTCCAGGATCTAAGGGTTATGCCGTTCGATGCTGTCTCGACGTAGTCTTCGACGTAATCGTGCGTGCCGCCTTCCAAGTACATGAGGGCCAGGGTAATCTTGTCATCGTCCGTGGTGATGTTCTGGACACGGAACCAAAGGCCCATCTTCTATAACCATTGTTCGAGAGTGATGTCCGAGCCTTTGTTGCCCTTGTACTTGGGTGGTTCTGATGCCTTGATACGCGAGGCCTGTGATACGCCTGTGATACGACAGGGGCCGGTGCGGAACTGGTACCAAGCGTGGTGTGGGTTGATAGGCCTTGCTCCAACTGTGTAAACTTAGCCGCGAGTTCCTTGTACCGTTTGACAAGCTCCATGTTGTTCCGGTTGAGAACCTCCAGATCCGCATTAACAGTGATCAGTTCCGCCTTCAGCTGTTTGTTCTCTTCAACAGCTTTAAGGGCGAGGTTCCCAGCAGTGTCAGTCTTGGTGTGAAGGCCTGTCATAGACACGTCCAACTCCTTGAAGGTGGCGTGGGTGGTGTCGGACTCATTGAGGAAGTCGTTCCGATGTTCGTATATCTTGCTGCCGAGGACGTTGTAGACATTGACCACTTCGCGCCGTGTGATGTCCCTTGTCACGGAGATAGTCCAGTCGACGTAAGCTTGGTTGTTGATGCCTAAGCTGTCTGCCGAGGCACGGATAGCGTTTTCCAACGAGTCGTACTCAACACCGGCATAGATCCATTGAATTTCCGGGTACACTTGAAGCGTGGCAGTGGGTGAAGCCGGGTGGGTGTGTGCCAGTGACGGAGCTGGGTGGGTGTGTGGCCCCAGATCTTCCGATTCAAAGTCATCCTCTGCCAGAGGGGCGTAACGCGAGCCTGAAGCCATTGGTAGAAAACTATGCCTGATACAAAACTAAACAACAATCCAATCCAGATACCCAAAATGTTCTAACTCCACTAGAGCTTTGACAATACGCTCGAAGTTCCGTCCAAGTCCACTAAACTTGACCTTTCCAAACTCCTTGCAAAACCAGTTGATGTTTTGTTATTGGCTGCGGGTCCACGAAGAGCCGTTCTCAATGTTGTCGAGTATCCACTCAAGCCTGTCGCCAACGCGTTGAAGGGCGAGCCGATGGTCGTGGGGGATGTCGAGTAACTGGTCCTTGCGATCGAAGATGGCCTGTAGTCTTTTGATGACAGCACTGACCTTAGAGCCTACAATGGCAAGGAGATCGATGGGATTGCGGCGTGCGAAGGAGGGGATAGGTGGTGCAGATATACGGTACTGGAGAGGGACTGTAGGAGTGGATGGGACAAAGACTGGTGGCGGTGTAGTGAGACGTGCCGCGAGCGGTCTGTTGAGCGGCTGACTAGAAGGCACAGATGGTAGGAGGGCCTTGCGACGAGGGGCGATCGGGGTATGCCGATACTGACGGCGATGTCGAAGGCGATCTGACGTGTTGTCTGCAAGGGCATGGTCAATCTGGGACTGGACGTCGAGGTGACCGTGTCTCTTCAAGTGACAACGGGTAAACTCCGGTAGGTCCGAGTCGGATGGAAGGATAGTGGGGGGGGATGATAAATGTTTCAAAAAACTCCTGGGGGAAGAGATCCGGTCCACAAGTGGTTGAGACACTCCACGGAGGGGATGGGTAAGAGACTTGATCTAATGTCACAGCCAACGAGCTGTGCCACCAAAAAAAACAAGGGCAAAGCTTACTGATGCAGAGGTTGGTGCTGAGAAGCCAAGCAACCAGAGGTGACACAGCAAGAGATGTGAAGAGATGTATTCCCTAGACTAGAAGGGGTAGTGAGGGAGGTAGGGCTGCTAGCTACCTACAGAGGAGATGGGGAATCGACGAGAAGATCAAGTCTGAGG